ACAAAGTGACCTTCCTGTCTCTTGCTGAACTCCAGACAAGCCAGCCAATTGCAATGTTTGCACAGGTCAATATTAGACTGTAATTTTATGGGTACTGGCATTTCCGACAGGGCATACACTCACATTTGAACGACCGAAAAGGCTGTATGAAATCCAAGTTAGATTTCTAACGATTGAGACGGATGTTCTTACCAAAAGCAGCCCTAATCTGGCCGCAATAAGTAATCCCAGCACAGCTTCCTCGAACCAGCAAGGAAGGGAGTGAATGATTCAGCAAGGCCGAACCGGCGATCCACAGAATCCAGGTGCCAAAGGCCCAAAGGAATTGGGCACCCACTGACGCCACAGCGAGCTTCGACCAGGACGGATGGATAAAACATATTGAAGACAACGTGGCTGTCAAGATCGTCCAGCAAGAGCAAAATCTGTCGATCGATAAATCAAGTATACCAAGACAATGATGCAGTGGGGCTTACAGCAGTATCCCGACGCCGTCGCGAGTGCCTTTATTTGGATAGTTCGTCTGATATTGATATTGGAGGATGAGCCATATGGAAAGCGCGAACTAGGCGGGCGAATAAGGAGTTATCGGATGAACTTTGTGAGCTCTTGTACCTCGACAAAACTGCAAAGCACTACCGCAATATATGTCGCTGAATAAAGATCATTGACTCTGGATTCTGTCCTGGATAGACGACTCACCTGGGGCGTACCGATGAATGAGAATTCCAGACTCCTTGTTCAAGAATCTTGGATTACTGACAGCATATCTCCAGATCAGGAATAATGACCCAAAGTACATCAGTCCAAGCATGAGGACGGTGCAGGTGATTACGCTCGTTAAGGATCCAGACAATTTGGAAGGCAAGTGAGGTTCAGAAGATAGGATGGCCGGCATCATGAAAGTAAGGTTCAAGTGGTGAATGGACCCTTGAAAAACAGCATTCAAGGATGCGACTTGGCTCTGGCACCATTGCAACGTGGCAGCAGGCCACAGAACTCGTGATTTCAAGTACCTGATTGATCTCGACGTGATTTTGACAAGTTAGAGTCTCTCGGTGATACGGTGTTGTCGGGGGGCCTGTATACGACCTAGGCAGCAGTGGTACAGTACAAAAGAAAATGCAGCCTGCTGACCAAGGTATTGTGGGAATTGCTGACTGACTACACCCGGCAAGACCCGTGCATTTTCATTTAAGCCACGACAGGGAATACTGTACGAGGAATACCTCAAGGTAGATTTGTTCTCTGCCACCTCCTGGGCCTGATGATCTCTAAACATAAAGAGCCAAGCAAGCGGCCGGCAATTACTTTCTTGCCTAAAGCGTCAAGCCGCCATCGCCGCCCTCAAACACTGTCCCACCCGAGCATATTTTTAGCGATCACAAGGACCCTTTCCTATCAACCATTATACCCGAATAGCAATCCTGTGACAATTCCGCCGCATAACACTTCTGCCTCTATATTCTGTAATTTTATCTCACACTGGTCCGGACAAGTCGAACAGGCAGGATGGGCTGGTACTAAAGGACCGTCAAAGCTCTGATTTCTGGCTGGCACCCGCTAGTAAAATGAGCTCTGACCTTGTACCGTCCTTCACTGCAGTCGCTCCACCAGAGATCTGGAGATTTATCTTCCGTCTCGCGACCATCCCTTCAGCCTGTCAGCTGGAGTACCAGTCGTTTGAGGTTCAATACCCCGACGGCTATTCTGACGACGAAATAGCGCGGCTCAAAGTATTGTGTTCTCTTGTCCGAGTCTGCAAGCTATGGCGCGCTCTTGCTGAAGAATTCCTCTATGAGGATGTCCGCATTCTTAGCTTGCCTGCTATCGAGGCCGTGCGGAGAGCACTGAAGCGCTCTGCAGAAGAGAATGGTTCCTACCTCGAAGGAGTCGGTCGTTTCATACGACGACTCGAGCTTCCCTTGAAGCGGATCTACCTAGAACCTCGACGACCCTTCCATCTACCAGCCCAGTCAACCGCACCTCAGATACCGATAGAAGAAATTCTTTGCTACTGTCCGAATCTAGAAATCCTAGTGCGACATGTTCTGCGTCTCGATGGAGACGATATACATGTTTGGGGAGGCCTAGTTGCGAAGCCACTCGAAAACACGAGGGTCCTGCTCCCCAAGCTCAGGCGAATCAATTGGTTCGAAGGCGACCTCGATCTCAGGATGTTCAACATCGCCAACAGCCGACGACTTTCAGAGATACTCTCTCATTCACCCAATCTCGAGTATCTCTACGTCTCGTCAGAGAGAAAGGACGTTCTGTCGAGCCTCAGCTTGGGCGCCTCTTTAAAAACATTGCAGATCGATCGCGTCTCGCATACACCCAGCAGTCGAACTCGAGACATGCCTCTAGCTCCAGCTCCCAGTCTCACCAACCTTATTATTCATGCATCCGTCGTATCGGCAATGCTTCCTTTCCTCACAACAGCAGGGCCGCAAATTCGTGTCATCGAGCTCGTTTTCTCTGTCCAAGCCACTGTATCAGCAAACAAAATGCAGAGAATATTCAGCCGATGCCCCAACGTCGAGGAATTCGCCTACCACCTCGGAGCTCCAGAAATTTCAGCTTTCAATGAAGGGTTTCAGCACAAGGCGCTGCAGAGAATTCGACTTCAGGTCAATTCTGACGAGTACTATCCATACAAATTCGTCGTCAGAGGCCAATTTGAAATTCTCGCTGGACCATCTTTTCCGGGTCTCCGACAAATTATTCTGCACGATCCCGCCAAATCGTTCGTTCGTCGAGATTCTTCTGTCTTACTTTTGCAAAAGATGGCCGAACGACGGTTTCCATTGGAATACGAAAACGGTACTCCTGTCCCTTTCCAGAAATAAGGCAAGTGGTTGGCAATGATTTTTCATGTTGGTACGCTGATATTGATTCGACAGCGACTCGGACGTATAAATTATCTTCTAGATGGACGTGACACTCATCGCCACTGGATCTTGGAGCTCTTCAACACCTAGATCTACACAGCGTCCGAGTATCTCGTCAACCGTGACTTGATCTCACTGGGGAACCTGAAATGACATGCCGCTGGCCATAACCTTGTTGTATGTAAGAAAATAGGATGCATTGTTTGAAGCAGGCAGAAGCCCAGATGTTGGCGAAGGCAGATTTCACCCGATTCATAGCTACCGCAATTTTCGGGATCGCGACTGGTGCGCAACTTGTTCTTTGATTACCGCTCGCGCATATGGAACCTGAATTTAACGGCAAATGTACAGAAGTTGGCCTTGGGATGTATCTCCGACTCTCATGCAAGTCCTGAATAGCTAATCTCCGAGTATGACCGAAAAATTGTTACTGGCTGCATAAGGGCGCTGGCCGGAACAAGACGGTTCTGCTTGACTTCGGGGACTCTGAGACTCGGGCTTCTATATGGTTCAGGGCGCGTACCATGATATCCAGTAGGCATCCAGTTGAAATAGACTGGTTTCATCAGCCCTGCAACGTTGATACCACGACATGAGGCTCACCCCGGAGTTTCAAAAGTAAATGGGATAGTGCCATTAACATCGTTGAATGCATTCACGGTCAAAGTATGGTTATAGAAGAATGCAGTATCGGTTTCGATGTCTCGAAGGAAGAATGCGACGCTGTTAAAGTCTGTGTGAAGCCATTCAAAGGTCGCATTGACTGAAGCCCCAGCTGGGACTATCTCTGGGACAGTTAGGTTGAAAGCTGCGACTGAAGTCGCGAAGACAGTCGTTACCCTGTATAGATCAAACAAGTGCCAAGAGATTTGGATATCACGTACCCGGTAAGGTTCCTCATGAACGACTCAAGGGCAAAGAAAGAGGGAGTGCCTAAATCTAGCATAGCTGTACTGTATTTATCCAAGGCGCTCAATTGACGAGCATGTCAGGCGACTTAATATTGAATGCTTGGTGGAAAAAGCTCGGCGGGATACAACCGAGCTGGTTGTTTCATGTCTGGCATCCCGGATGATCCTATCCGAGTCGGAGGACCAAAAGTGGGTGCATATGGCCGTTCGGGTATTCATGGGTTACCTACGACACAGCAAAGGCTGACGTTATTTGTAAGACTCGGACTCGGAGAGAAGAATCGACTTTGTGACGAAAATTGCTGCTGAGTAAACAACCCACCTGATTGCTACATCGCTGACATCTCGGATACTCAGGTGCTCATGGGTATCAGACGACATACCAAAGATAGAGGCTGTTTGAAAGGATCGGACTGGGAGGAAAACTTGGACTTGAAAGAAAATTGATGCTGACTCAACACCGAGTAGCCGTGATATTTTCATCCTTCTCCGAAAGTGCAAAATCTTGAGTCCTGCTATTGGATTCAAGTCCACTTTGCCATTGTGACCAGATTACAGGGAGATCCCCAGTCATCAGAAGCCCAAGTTATTACTAGTAGCTCTGGTAGTTGGTCCAATTTTGTTACAACGGCCGAAGGTACACTGAAAACGGCCTTTGACACAAGCTTCAAAGCATTCGAAAAATGATTCCGGTATTTGGTGATGGATTCTTCTCCTGGATCACTAATTGTCTTTCTATTGCGAAGCAGGTGAGTCGTTCTAGATTTGGTCGGGGTTCTGATCTCTTTCATACATAGCGCCACACACCATAATTTTGCCCATGTATACAGATTCGAAGGCTCTTGCCTGTCTTTCTATCTTATGGGTTCCCGACTAGGTCACATACTAGTCGTTGTCCACGTATTGGGTGAGCCGCGTTTGAGGGATTCTGTGCCGCCACATACGCCACGGATCCTGCTGTCTTGGAAGTCGGCTATTATCTTCCCATGGCCGCCGACCTTGTATAGCTTTGTCCAGCTGATTGAGTATTTAAGACGGGGTCTAGAATGTTGAAGAGCTCGTAAATGAGCCAGGATGGGTATGCGCGGAACCCGAAGGGTGAAATTTCAGCAAGAATGAACTCAATTTACTCGTGGTTAAACCAGGAGAGTCTTTTTTTTTCGGTGTTTTAAGAAGCGTTCAAATAAGGAAAAAAGATTGGACACATTGGGAATTGAACCCAACACCTCTCGCATGAGGAATTCGTATCCATATGCTAAGCGAGCGTGATAACCAACTACACCATGTGCCCATGTAAAGTGTTGGCTCTAAAAGAAGCTCATCCAGATGAAACATGTGAGAACATCAGCTTCCAGAAGCTTCCCTCCTCGCTCGTCACTCCCATGTACATGCAAACGACTTCCAAGGCATGAATCGCTCAGGTATGCTAACTTACAAGTCACTGATTCTGAACACCATGCTCTGAGTTTTGGCGCCCGGCCACTGAGCTCTGTTAATCGCAACTGTTTTACATTTCAAAATAACGAATAGACCTATACGAGTCTCGAGCGACTAGAAAACAACTGAAAGCTCGCTAATTCCGACATCTTTATGAGGAGGAGAGTACTGGACCTCAGACAATGGAATCGCAATCTTCAGATTGGGAAGCTTCTGGAATAGTGTGGCTGGAAAGGGTCAGCATCACGGTGTAACTCCTACAAGGATACTAACCGAAAACAATCTCAAGCTCTGTACGAGCGAGAGGCTCAGCGACACAGCGATGAGCTCCCCATCCATATCCAAGAGCCTCTTCGGATCCCCGCTTACGGTGCAAATCAAAGGTGTCTGGATCAGGAAAAACGTCTTCATCGCGATTGGCTGACAAGTTGGAGGCGATGATGCCTTCGCCTGCTTTAATGAGCTAAAAAGGACGATGAGCGGCATCTTTCTAATGATATGTTCAACTTACTTTGCCTCCAAGCGTGATATCTACTTTGGCGACTCGGCGTGTGGCCATTGAAGAAGCGGTATGGAAGCGGCAAAGCTCTTCAACAAACGGTTTCGCAAGAGATGGGTCAGCTTTGAGATCCGCAAGTTGACGAGGATTTTCGAAGAGCGTCACGATACCCTGTCAAAGTGTAAACGAGGCGAATGGTGGAGAATCCAAGCCTTATGTACCAGGTTGATCATGCTGACCATGGTCGCATTTCCGGCGACTAACATCAAAAAGGCCATTTGGATGCTAACGACAAGGTCAGTCAAAGCAGTACGACTAACAAGAGCACTCACACATCTTCCTTTTGGACATGACCTGGGTTGAGCTGAAAATTTGTTAAAAGTTTCCTAGTAAGCGAGACAAGGCAGTACTTGTTCCACAACGAGTTTAGAAATGAGGTCGTCCTCAGGTTTCTCGACTCTCTGGTCTACCAATTTGCCGATATAGTCGAGCAGCTCCCTAGAAGATTCAGTTTTCGACTTCGAGACGGACATGAATGACAAACTGGTTGGCGTTGGCAGCTTCGGTTGCTGTGGCAGAGCCATTGCTTCGTATGGCATTGCATCGAGTCAGGTACTCGAGATCCTTGAACGGCACGCCCAGAATACCATAGATGATCTATTGACGTGAGAAGAGGCGATTCAAGAATAACCTAGAACCCACATAGGATGGAACAGGAAGCGAAAACTTTTCAACAAGATCCACTGGTTTCCCATTGTTATTCTTGACCATGTCGTCGAGCAAGGTATCCACAGTCCGCTGGATATGAGGGCGTAGTTCTTCAGCGCGTTGAGACGTGAACATCGGAGCGACCATGCCCCTTCGGAGATAGTCAGGTCGAAGCATATTCTCCCAAAGTATTTCTTACCTCTGTTGCATATGCTCAGGCGGGTCCATGTCGACAAAGGTCGGCTTGTTTTTACCAGCAGCCTTTCCTCCAGCACTCAATTCTGGAAATCCCGGTCGATTCCGTTGCTGCCGAAGGAATGAGCAAGCTGAAAATGAACAGAAATCGAGCGAGTACCTTTGATAGACGTTCGTCAGTCAAGACGCTGCAGACATCCTTGTACTTGACAACAAGCCAAGCTAGACTGCCATCCCAGAGCTGAACCTGGGAGACAGGTTCAGTGGCACGGAGCTTGGCGAACTCTACTGGAGGTAGATGACCAGAAGGGCGAGAGAATGGGAACCTAGGTGCTGAAGACATAGTTATATATGAGCTATCGCGGACAAGGAGTAGTGAACTTGCCTGTAGACATTGAATGGACTTTCTGGGAGCGATTCGAAACCTTTTAAAGCCTTCATGTATGGACCAAGAGTCGAGACTAGAAGCGTCGATGACGGCAAGCTGGTCAGTGGCTCTCATGACATTGTCAGCAGTCTTGATACATTAGTGATCCTAGGGAAGAATCGGGGCGCTATAACTTGAGCGATGGAAGCACTCGGAGAAAAAAGAGCGCACATAACGGACAATGTGGGAAATATAGAAGAAATCCCTTGGCGAAACACTTGTCGTCGTCGGGAAATCCAGGAAGAGGCTGAACGTGACTAAATGTGGATTGGATTCAACGGTTTCTCGCAGCAGCCGTTGATTTCGTGGTGGCAAGAAGAAATGCAATCTGATGTCACGTGCCGCTTCTCGCCTCAACCATGGATTTGGACTACTACACGATGGCCTCGTCGCTGAGGACTCCACCAGCACCAAGAAGAGCCATATCCTCCTCGCCTGCTCCTCCAGCAATTCCCAAACCATCTGTTACCGTAGAAGATTGAGAATTTGGGCGCCATTGAGTGAACGTCCGAGGGTCGCGTGATAAAAGCAGCTTGCTTGAGCCCTCCTTTGCCTCTGAAGGTGTGCCTTTTCGTATTCAGTATTCGATTATTTGACCGAGATTGCTAAGTTCACCACAGATGGGCCCTCGGACGATACCGGCACCCCAAGACCGTCAACCCCAAACCTCCGTGGTGGAAACAAGCTGAAAGCTGGATCCAGACTATCAACCCCATTATCTGCTCGTGTTCCGAATCATGCCCTCCATCCAAAACAGCCAGTACAGACTCCGGAACAGTTTTACGACTGGTTCGCTCTCATAGACCGCTCCGAGTGTCGCCCGCAGTCAAGAAGCTCATTTCCGTGCTCATGTGGCCGGTCGCTGAGCACCTGGATACCTGCGACAAGCTCATACAAACAGTTCACGACGTCGTAGATAGCGTAGAATTGTTGTTTGGCAGTCGCGTACGGACGGACTGAGCCGCGGTAGTAGCATCTAGCAGGAAGGTGAGATTGTGCAAAGGACAGGCGATGAAGACTTACCCAGCTGAGCCGCATTAACAATCATGGCTGTGAGCCAATCCGGACCCAACAGCGAATCTGTGGGTATATCTCTGCGTCGTGATAACTGGAGTGTGGTTGAGAAGGTGTTGCCAGCGGAGTACGGTTCTGTGCGCGACCAAAAGCGTGGAAGGACCGAGGAGAGTCGGCATCGATAATACAGGTTGCAGGTTTACCGTTCAGCTTGTAAGACATGGTATGGAAAAAAATTGGGACAAGTGGGAAATGCAACATTTGTACGGTCTGATCATGGACGGAAATTGTGATCGGCTGTGATCGGGCCGAGTAGACTCGGCCGCTACCTAGCCTTACCTAAGACGAAAGGAAGGAAAGAAGTGGAAATGGGGTGGCTGAGCCAGCTCGTGTCACACGTTGTTTTGAACTTTATCTGTCATGTCTGGTCCGGTTGCAGCTGCTTCGAGCTCCAAGTTTACTGCGTTTATGAACCATCCTGCTGGTTAGTGGAATAAATCCTCGAGTATCACCCAGAGCCCGAATATTTCCAGGTCCAAAAACAGTATTCTTCTGGGGGCCGCTCATGAAATGGTGTCTCGTTGGTGCAGGGGTCAAGGACCTTGCTCGACCTCCTGAAAAGCTCAGCGTCTCTCAGAATCTTGGCAAGTGCCAAGCATAGCTCACTCGTATGTGTGTAATAGTCGCTGACTCCTAATCCATAGCTCTCACTGCAACGGGCTTCATCTGGGTGCGGTGGTCCTTGGTGATTACGCCAGTGAACTACAGTCTTGCTGCTGTCAATTTCTTCATTGGCACATCAGGTTTGGCGCAACTGGTGAGAATCGCCCGGTATGTGACTCGTACGATGCTGCATATGCACAACTCAAATCGTGCAGCTACCGATCTTCTTTACCGGCCCAGACGAGCTGAACCTTGTATTCCCACAAATATACATTATTTGCATCCAGCGTTACAAAATGAGCCTATGAAATACAGTACACTTGTCGAGTCCAAATCTATCGCGAAGTCGACCCTTTCCTAGTCTTACTCTGTTTCTGCTCGGACCCCCTGAATTCTACATGTGTCAACATGAAGATCTACTTGCAATGATATGCATAGATTTTATTGAAAAGGTAGGTTCAGGGTACAAATCATGCCAAAAAGAAAAAGAACGGGTACTGGCAGGATCGAACCATCGACCTCCCCAGTCGCACAGCCGCCACTCTGCCAAAAAAAAAGTACTAAGCGCCGGCGGATGCAATTCTGACGTCACGTGCTACTTCTTGCCTTAACCATGGATTTGGACTACTACACGATGGCCTCTTCGCTGAGGACACCAGCACCGAGAAGAGCCACGTCTTCGTCTCCTGCTCCTCCAGCAATTCCCAAACCATCTGTCACCGTAGAAGACTGGGAATCACGGGCGCCATTGAGTGAACTGGCAGTCCGGAGCGTCGCTGTGATAAAAGCAGCTTGCTTGAACCCTCCTTTACCTCTGAAGGTGTGCCTTTTCGTATCCAGTATTCGATTATTTGACCGAGATTGCTAAGTTCACCACAGATGGGCCCTCGGACGATACCGGCACCCCAAGACCGTCAACTCCAAACCTCCGTGGTGGAAACAAGCTGAAAGCTGGATCCAGACCATCAACCCCATTATCTTCTCGTGTCCCGAATCATGCCCTCCATCCAAAACAGCCAGTACAGACTCCGGAACAGTTTTACGACTGGTTCGCTCTCATAGACCGCTCTGTCGCCCACAGTCAAGAAGCTCATTTCCGTGCTCATGTCGCCAGTGTCGCTGAACACCTGGATACATGCGACAAGCTCATACAAACAGTCCACGACGTCGATAGAGAAGTCGACGACATGCTCGAAGGATGGCGGGGCGTAGAAGAAGGAGGGAAAAATCTCAAGGATGCTTGTGAAAGGCTGCTGGAAGAACGTGTAAGTCACGAAACCCTGACCCGCTCTCGCTGACTCTGGTTCCAGGATAGACTTTTAGAGCTCACAGACGAAATTGGGGATAG